CAGCAGAGACAGGTGGAGCCCAGACTCAGATTTCCTGATTCCCACTCTTGTGGCCTTCCCTTTGTGCGGCTGAGGGGCACGGGCTCTTCTTTATCTGCCCCTCCTCTAGGGTCTCCTCTAAATAAACACTGGACAGATACTTAGAGCACAGGGACAAAGCAGTGGGGCACCGATTCCCAATTCCACTGCCTCGATTCCCAATTTCACTGCCTCCTGTCCCTTGGAAGTAACAGGCTCAAGAAAGAAGCTAATTCGGTTACCCAAAGATAAGAAGCCGGACAAACAGCCGGAGGGACTCACCTCCCTGTGCTAATCTCCTTACTGCCTGGTTCTCACTGAGACGCGACCAGCCTGAGGGGAATACCTGTTTTGAAGAAGAAAGTATCTTAAAAGCTTCAAGAGTAACAGAAAGTAAAACCTGTAGAGAACAGAACAAAACCCTGGAGTTCCCAGCTGAATGGCCCCAAGACCACGCTCTTCCTGTACCCCACACCAAGACTGCTTTAGATCGGCTGATTTTAATCTCAAAACGCAGCACGTGCTTTACTGGTTTAGACTTTAATCCTTTCTCATCTCATGGCACACATAAACCAATTGCTAAAATTCTGACAAAAAATAAGTGTAATTTTGATTGATATATAAAATAATAATTATCTACCCTTTCTGCTCCAAAGTGACTTTTTTAAAATAAGGATTTCTGGTGCCAAGAAATAACCAACCAAATGCAACCTTATTATGCGATGTGACAGGTAAGATGCAGCTCTACTATATGACCTATATATTTATGGCTCAAGACAGGGCATTCACACCAGACGGCTACTGTTGTGTTGGCTGTTGTCATTTTTTTTATTTGATAATCTAAGGGAAAAGAGGTCAGTGTCCCTGACTAAATAGTCAGGTATTTCACGTTTTAAATATTCTCATGGCACAGCGGCTGAAAATTGCTGGTTCAGAACCCGTTTCAGCTGGTACCATGGGAACAGAGGATGCAGGATCAATGCTGCCTCCCTCCTTCTCTGAGCACACTGAAAACAAACACATGCCTGGCGTTGGACAAGGCTCAGTGAAGGGTACATACTTCTGGTGACACTTTGGCAGGGCAGGATGGGAGCGTGTGGATGGGGGGATGGGGATCTCTGTCATGGAAGGGGCCCCACTCCTGCAGGACACAAAAGGCCATGGGGCGAGCGCAACCCTCTCATGCCCCAATGAGGAATGAGCTGGCGCAGGGAGCAAAGATGAAATGGGCTAGAAGCAAGGGGAGGAGACTTCTGAAAACAAATCCCCCAACTGTACTCGCATTTCGGTGGCGGCTAACCTTTGATTCCCCTCTGAAAGGACATCCTGGGCGAGAGAGACTCCCAGACTCCGGGAGAAAACAAACCCTGCTGCCTGGGTGATGTTAAATGTTTGTCTGTGGGCTGACCAGCCCCCTGCACCCAGCGCTTGTCTTCCTGATGCTCTTGGGGGGAGGGGGGGGAGTGCTGCAGACAAAGCACAGACCAGCATGCCTCACCCGACACACAGCTAGAAACTCCCGGGAGACTCACTGCAGGTGACACCGATAAAGCACTTGTTACGAGAAAGGCTTAAGTGGGCTAGGAAAGCCATGCAGGGAGCCTACTAACTTTGGAGAGAGAATAATACCCAAACCCATCAGACCCAACGCCCATCCCGTGGATGCTACAAACCCTTAACACATCACTACCTGGATCCCAGGAAGAAGCCACTCGAACATCCCCACTACCTCTGTAGAGCACTTCACAGCGTGCAAAACTCCTTCACACAAGTGAGCTCACTGCTCACCTGCTGCAAATCTACGCAACCCTGCGCAATAGTCAGGACAAGCAGCACTCCCCCATCCGTGACCAGGAACCAGGATGCCAAGTCTGTGCGACGCTGCTTCAGAGTAGCATGACTAGGAAGGGGCAGTGAGGACAGGAGCCCAGGCCGGAGCTGTTCTCCTTTGCCCAGTGCTGCCTTCCCCATCTCACTGGGTAAAACTGGTATCAGTAGGCAAGGCTTAGGTAAGAAAAACCCCTCATGGGGCTTAAGCCAAACAGATAGTGATCATCTGGTTCTAAATGACAAATACCATTCGGCACGTGTTCGCAGGGCAGCCAGTGCTGCATAAATGGTCATAGATTGTAAGAAAGAATTACCGAGGCAGTTTTGGAGCCGGGGTGGAAGCAAAATCTATGAAACCAGCTTCTGTTCAGAGTTTAAGCCACCACCTGGCAAAGAGGTTAGAGAGGGAATTCAATAATGTGGTGGAGCTCTAAGTTTATGATTCCATGACCTAGTCCTAATGACATCAAGAAACCAAGTCTTCAACCTAAGCAAGAATGGAGAGGAGGGAGGACAAGATGCGCAGATACCGAGGCACACTTTCTACCTCCAAAACTCTGGATATGAGGGGAAATTGCTAGAATTTAAAAATTAGAAAAAATGAGAAAAAGGGGAAATGTTCTCTTCATTAAAATTCATCAAGACAATGCCCCAAACAAATTTCACTGTAAACACAGTTTAAATTATAGGCTCATAGGCATCTTTTGCCAACAAACAGGCCATGAAATATAAAGGATAAGTGTTTGAAAAAGGAACTGCACAGAATTTGGGGTTGGAGGAAGGCCTGGAGGTGCCCGTAGTCCTCCACCCAGTAGGAGCCAGGTGTTAACACCACCTCCCTGCTGCAGCCTCCTAGCAGCCACTACAGAGAAGACAATGACTTTGAGAAAGTCTTTCCCCCTGGAAAGCTGGGGGGGGGGG